GAGACACACCCAAACACCCCTGAAGGCAATTTCTGGCAAACGCTGTTACTTGTGGCGACACAGAACCCTCCCGCCTTGTAGCTCGAAAGACCTGGGTTGCAGCCAAGGACCGCGACCATGCTCTTCACGGGGCAGTTCGATCCGGAGGGCGACACGCCGGCTCCTGCACACACTGGGCCATTGACGCAGTATGTGGCGTCGCCAACCACCGATACGTAGACGCACCCCTTGGCAGGTGCGGGGGTTGACCTGTACAGCGCTGCCCACGCCGCGATTGTCATTGGCAGCGTTCGCTTGGCAGCTACGTCTGTCGCGATGCTGGCGCTACCTTGGTTGAGCGTGCACGGTGGCGTGATCGTAGCCATGTACTTTGTCATCGTGGAGTAGTACGACGCACACTTGGTTGATGCTTGAAAAGCTCTCACGGCGGCGAGGTTGGCGGGAATCCAGTTGAAGCGCAAGATGTCCGTGGTGGCAATGTTGAGATCTTTGGCACAGCCAACGAATGGCCCGTTGACCGAGCCAGCACCAACAAAGAGGGGGGCAAAGTTGAAAGCGCTGCAGTTCGCTGCAGACGCCGTTGCCACCAACGCGAGGAGGATGGCAGTCTTCATCACAGTCCCAGTTGGCAGGAAAAATCCGATGTGATTGACATGCAGAGCACACTGAGCGCCAAGGCACCAAAATAGATTTTCTATTTCTGCTTGGGGGCCATGATGGAAAACGCCCAGTGAGGCAGACGAAAGCGTCCGCCAATGGTGTCGCATCGACGGATCATCAAGAATGGAGCTGTTATTGCCTCTATGCGATCGCTGGTCGTGGTAGTGGCGAGCCAGCGACTCTCAAGAGAACGCGTTAGACAACTCACCGACCATACGCAGCTCTGTGGTGCGTCACATCGTGGCGAATTCAGTATAGCACCACGACACTAACAGACACCGAGGCGAGCGCACAAAGCAAACGGACCAAACGAATACGACAAAACGGGGAGGAGCGCGAGAAACTGTTCGTGGCTGCGCTCGACGTCAACAGCGAACGTGGCTGCGGTACCAAGTAGAAGCAGCGGTGATTATTGCACATTTTAGGACAAGGCAAGTGTACCGGTAAACGCAAGCATCGCTGAATCGAGGCGCGGGCTCGAGGCTTCTTGCTGCTACAGTGACCGACAGTGTAGTGTAAATTGATTACAGCCAGGTTACGCAAGGCTATTCCGCTGAAATCTTGCTAGCAAGACAAGTGATTGCTGATGAGGACTCACCGCGAGGCGTACATGGTTTGCTGACAAATGTGATTCGCGTGCCAACTTGGGATGGTCACAGGTGAGGACATGTCACGTTGGCGAATTAAGAAATCGATATGGCTCCTGGCTCCTCGCGATGGCTTTGGAAACCCTGAACATGATTGATTTGATTACCAACCATTTGAACCACAAAGTAAATTCATCAGCCTGCGTGTGGCTCTCGTATGGACTAGCATAAAGAGCTAGCATTGGGAGGTCTACGGAACACATTTAAAGGACTAAACGATTGACTCTCAACAATGCGACAAGGCTTTGTACAGTATTAAATAGTAGCGATATAGTTCTCACGCAACACGCTAAGATACTCCTGCCTCAAGTCGCCACATGTGTAGCTGGAATTTGATTATTGACGAGCCGATAACTCTGGTTGGAGTACGTATGGGTTTGCTAGTCGAGCAGCGAACGAACCCAATAGTCGAGCAGCGAACGAACCCAATATTTTGGGCGTCCAGCCCCGCTATGGGCGACCCTATGATGCGGTTCATCACGAACGCTTAGAGCCCTGCCAAACGCCAAGAGCACCACACAAACCAGTGCAACGCGAGCGAGTTGGTCTGGGACGATAGTTTAGGATGTAAACTCTGTGCGTGCTGCTTGTGCACAGCAAGCCAACTTGGCACCCTTGGCTACTTCCGTCGAGTCGTACAATATCAAGTGCAAGTATCCATCGAGCCTACTGCCCCGAGAACAATGGGTTATGTCCGTTTCCAAGCAGGCTCCTGACGCAGGCGTATCACGTGGCATGTTCCGGCAACCCAAAGGTGGAGCCTGTAAGATGATGAATACTGGCGTTGAAAGTCGTCGAGAAGCGAAAGATTCGGGTTTTGGAATGTTGCATCCTGTAGCGCTTCAGTGACGACGCTTGGCGGGAGTATACATAGAACTACGGACGGCGGAGCTTGGGTCGCATCGTACAGACGACCCGTGCAACCCCACTCGTATTTCCCATTTTTTCCCAGCTTGCAGTGTCGTGGTCGTTGTACGATCACCCATCCCGTCCTCCCAACGGCAACACTGAGAGGCTTGGGGCAAGATGTTGGGACGCACCTGCACGTGCCTCCTCAGATCTGAGTCCACCTCTTGGTCGTTTTATGAAGCCGCCACGTGGGTTGCGATTCTGATCCTGCACCAGATGGTGTCTGAGTTGTCGCTGTCGTTGGGTCGTCGACGATCATGCGGCCTGCACATAAAGTACTTGTTGTGGCGCTCCGTTCGGCACAACGAGTCTGATATGCTGCAAAAGATGCTCGGGTGGTGTTTTGTGACAGTGAAACCTTCCAACTGCTCATACGCAAACCATACATATAATTCCTCCTATGCGTCTCAGTCGTAAAAAAGATCAGGCCGACAAATGCGTTCTGGTCCGATAGACGGGCTCCGTGCAGACACACCGCACCCGTTGGAATGCTAGCCTTGCACCGTCGGTGGCACATCTTCAGCACCCACTGTTTCGAATCTTGCCAGATTCTTTGGCACAAGAAATCGGGCACATCGACCCTCTTGGCGGCGTAGTCTTCGCATTCAAGTCGCGTCTTGACACAATTTTGCCGACGGAGGCAGCACGTGATCTACTGCTATCGTAGAGTATATCGAAAAAATGCCAAGTGCAAGGTGGAACGCATGGGTGTGAATGGTCGCGCACCCACTAACAGCATGCGTCGCACGCTCTGGGAAAGATTCCTTGACGTGGTACGCACCCAGATCGTCGGTCGTGGTCCTACGCCGACAAGGTACACTACAGTACACTGCGGCGCAGTTGACACGACACGAGCGCAGAGACTTCTCGCCAACCTCACTTTCCCATTCGCCTCGCCGAGTTCACCACAACCACTACCATGAAGACATCCATGATCCTCGCTGCTGCTGCCACGTCGGCGTTCGCCGCCGAGTGCGAGCTCACCCAGTTCATGCCGCTTCTCCCGATCGCGACGGACCCGAACGGCCCGTTCGTGAAGTGCGCCGCGGACATCAAGAAGCCCGTGACCACTATCATGGTGCCGTCGTGGATCCCGGAGGACCTTGCCACGGTCAAGCTCTTTGGCGCCTCGGACAACTGCAAGAACTTTTTCTCGACCGTCACCAAGCACATGGCCACGATTGCGCCGCCGTGCACGCTGACGCAGAAGACGGGCCCTACGACGTCGGATGTCGCTGCCAAGCTCAGCTTCGACCAGGCCGTGAAGGGCTGGACTGCGTTCTACTCGCCGACGGACGCGCCCAAGCCGACGGACCCG